CATTGTTTTCACATGTTTGTGTTAAAGTGAGAATCTCATAGCTGTCTTATAGTGTCTTAGTAATGTAAACGGATTTATTTGACCTCAGCCTTCCTGGGTTTGCAGCACGCTGCCTCAGATTCCTGCCGAACACACGCTGCCTCCAGTTCCAATCTGTCTAAGCTCATCTTCATCCCAGCACTACATCAGGTGCAAAGCCAATTTAAAATAAAACAACTGACCACCAAACACTAGAAGCTCCTTCTGCATGCTGCTGCCAGAAACCCTTCATTTTAACTAAGGTGTGAGCTTCTGCTCATCTATGAAGTATGAATGATTTTTCAGGCAGCCGGAAGGTGCGCTCCTCTCTTCTTACCTTCCCCGCACAGCTTCATTTCCATTCCTTCCAAGGAGTTGGCTGAGTCGCCCTCCTCCAGAGAGAGCCTCCCAAACGGGCTGCCAGCCATGCCGAATAACACCTCGCTCACAGGGATCACACTCCCAGCAACACACCCGATACTCTATTGGAGGCAGCGTGTAAGATCTCCCCTTCCTCTGTGTGTCACTGATCCTCTCTGCCTTCAGAACACTTCCTCCCTATCTACATCCTTTGCTACCTGCTCTTGGCATGAATGTGTAAAAGCTGCGACTGGGCTGAGAGCCTCCTCTTCTGCATGAATGAAAAGGCACGGCAGAGGGGTGGATGCAAGAGTAAGAGAGGGGGGGATGATGGAGAAGGACACATGGTGCCTTCTAGAGGAAGAGGAGGGAAAGGAGGCAGCAGTGCTGTTTCCCAGCAGTAGTAGAAAAACTAACATCTGGATGTCAGGCAGCAAGGTGTCCCATTTCAACTGAAACATTCCCAAATTATCCATTCCATTGGGCCATCGGTGGACCAGTAAATCTAACATAATTAGATGTTTAACTGTTCATAGTTTAAAGAACTAAAGGAACTCCTTAAAAGGTTTTTCTTTGTAAAATTAAAAAGCCTCTTTATCAGGCTGACAATTGAGAAATTAGGAACAATAAAGAAAAGAAAAACACTCAAACAAATACTGACTGAGAGCCTATAGGGGGCGATATCTTCACCACAAACCCACCGATTCAAAGGCTGTACAGTTGGATTGCTTCCAGATTATTACTTCATTAAAGCTGAAGGATAAGATATAAAGTCAGGCTAGGGCTGGGCGATATGACGATTTAAGACCGTGTTACTTCTGTCTCCTTGAACCCCAGTCGGCCTCGGCAGATGGCCGCTCACACTGAGCCTGGTTCTGCTGGAGGTTTCTTCCTGTTAAAAGGGAGTTTTTCCTCTCCACTGTCGCTACAAGCATGCTTAGTGTGGGGGATTGTATTTGAGTCAATGAGTCAATGCAATCAACTGGTTTTCCTTAGATAGAAAACTTTGTATCAATTTGACTGTATGATCTGGTTGAACTGTAAAGTGCCTTGAGATGACATGTGTTGTGAATTTGGCGCTATATAAATAAACTGAATTGAAATTGAATTGAATTACGATCTACACCTCTGACGATCTGTCATTATTCAGAGACCGTTTTATCAGGATCCACAGAACTGCAGTGCTGCTGTATTTCTGCCACTGACCACATTTACATGCAACCAAAAAAAACCTTCACAGCTAGAATATAATCCGAAGGTTAGTTTGAAAATCAGTTAAGGCAGCGACCAGTCCTTCTCCCGAAGCAGCAAACGTTAACAGATTCATTTACAAAACTTACTCCGTACGATAAAGGCAGTAAACAGTGGAACAGCGTGACAGAAGCGGTGACGTTTCACTTGGTGAAATATTTATGTCCTCTACGAACTGTAGAAGGAGTGCGGTTTAATAAAATGATAAACGTTTTGGATCCACGCTACGAGTTGCCTAGCCGCACGTATTTTTCAAACACCGCTATTCCACATATGTATGCTGAATGCAGAGAGAACGTTTCACAAAATATTAAAAATGTGCAGTTCTGTGCAAGCGAAAAGCGACTTCTGGTCCAGCCACACGTCAGAACCATATTTGAGCTTAACCATACATTTCATCAGCAACTGGGAGCTATGTAATGCAACACTGCAGATAGCCTATTTTCCTGATCATATCATCATAGATTGCACAGATTACATCTTGACTTGCACTATATTTGCAGTTCCATAATAGTTTTTGTTTCTAAAGACTTTAGAAATTATACAAATCTATTGTTTAATGTATTTTTTATTTATTTTGACGGTAGTTACTTACTAGAAATTAAAAAAAGAAGTTTGTTAGCACTGCTTTGATTCTCTAATTTTAATAAAATTGTTCATTTATTTAATTTTTCTCTTCTTTGCATGTTAATGAAGTTATGTTGGTCGTATCTAAAAAAAAATCGTGATAAAATCGAGATCACAATAATATTTGATTTTTGCCATATCGCCCAGCCCTAAGTCAGGCTTGACCTAGCCTGATCAGTGCATCCTGGCTTGATCAAATTCAGTTTAGTTATAAAGCCCCAATTCAAAGCACGTGTCCTTTACAGCAGGGCTGCAACTAACGATTATTGCAAATTGATTAATAATCGTATAGCCAACGATTCTTTAAAGAAGACTTTTAATGAAATTTAACCAGGTGAAACCCAAACTTTTCCACTTGAGGAGTTGTGGATAGAGCATATTGACAGAATTTCTTTTATTTTTTTTATCTTAAATCCAAAATGTCTATATATTTTTTACAGTTTTGGTATAATCACTGCTTTAAGTGGGTCTCTTTGTCAGCTAAAGGGATATTTTAGAGTCTCTACACTCTAGTTAACAAGAAAGCGATTAATAAATTAGTTGATAATTATTTCAACAATCGATTAATCCGATTAATCCAATAAATTTTTTCAGCCCTACTTTACAGAGACACATTTCACAAATACCAAACCAGGTCCAATGGTGCGGCTATGTTAAGCTGTAAGTAATCAAGCTAAATGCAGGTCAGCATTTAGACCATGAGGTTGAAAACAAAATAAGCCAGACTTGGCCGCATAAGCCTGCTGGGTGCGAGGGATTACAGAGGCATTGAGTCCTGGCAATCAGCTGGTTTCCTTAGATAGAAATACTTTAAAGAATATGATTGTGTTACCTGTATAAATAAATTGACCGTTTTGTAATTGCAGCTTTTCTCTGTGTGAGTCTCTCCAGGTGGAATTATTAGCTCGGCTGCTGCCATAGACACCTCTGATTATAGATGAGAGTGATGGGCCTGTAGTTCCGTATCTACTTCTGTTTCTATCCTGAACATTGCTAGAATTTAAAGGAAATGTCCGCTCATATTGAGAAGTCAAAGTTCTAAAAGTTCTTTACATATGAAATTATTACATACTGTTTAACAAATGATGAGTGTTTTTAAATAAGAGAAAATGTCATTTGAATGTGCTTTACTGGAGGCATCCGTGTTTGTCAAAGAACACTACTGCCACCTACTGGTTTGTGACGTCACGGTGCGGTATCGGCTGTTGATCAAGTCCCAGTGCTGTATCTGGTGTTTGTCACAACGCGCTATTATCCAAGTCATCTTGAAAACATTCTTCTTCCAAATGTTGGCTACATATTACGGGTTTTTTCTCTGGCCAGAAGTTCGATGGTAAATCCTCCCTCTTCAAGTTGGTGATCCAACGACGAACCCGTCCGTGGAGGATCAGGAATCAGAAAGGTGGAATAACTCTTTTTTTTTCACTTTTACCCGATGTATTCCAGCATCCAGCTGCCATGCACGTGGGCATTGTCAGTTTCACTATAGCTCTGGTGAATTTCAATGGTGAAGTCCTCTGGAAATCTTCAATAATTGTTGTTGATTGCAGATGTGTCTAGTAGTTCCCATTGATTTTGCTTGTAAAGCGGGGAGAATGGCGCTAGGCTTATCTGCCTCTGTCTCCTGGAATCTCCAGGGACTGGTTCTGCTGGAGGTTTCATCTTACTAAAAGGGAGTTTTTCCTCTCCACTGTCGCTACATGCATGCTCGATGTAAGGGATTGCTGTACACTGAGTCAGTGACACGATCCAAGTAAGTAGTGTCCTTACATGCTCATCAAGGAGGAGGGATCCAACAAAATCAATGACAGGATGCAATCAGCTGGTTTTCCTTAGATAGAAAATGTTTAACCAACCTGACTGTATGATCTGGTTTAACTGTCTTAATAAAATGCCTTAAAATTACATGTGCTGTGAATTGGCATATGACAAGACATAATCTATATTGAACTGAAAGGTTTTTATAGTGTGAGAAGCTCAAAACAACCCATTGCCAATCCATTCAAATCAAAAAACGGGATCATAAAAGCAGCTTTTTCACACAGTTATAAGAATATATCATATGTAAAACCTATTGAATAAAGAAGGCAGTTTCTTTTTCACCGGACAGATAATTTGAGCTGCTTAACTGAACATGTTTTTGTAATTCATATAATTGGAACCTGCTGTCGTCGTTCTACAAACCTGAACTGAAGCCTGAAACAAATTGAAATGGAGAAATGTTTTACAGTGTGTCTAAAAATGCCAGTCATGCAGTCTGAGCACTGTATTTAGCGCACAAATCAAGACTGACAGTCCACTCCACACAAATGTACTTGCAGTTACACTCCTTCTCCGCCACTGCCTCTAGTGTCCTTCCTGAATTTATCATCTCCAAGTAAAAGCCCATAGGCTTTCTGCAGCAGATTTACAGAAATATCCCCCACATGACTACTTCCAAGATGCTTACTGAAATACATCGATTAAAACCTATCTTTGTTTCTGCATGCTCAAATATCCTGTCTCTCCCTGGTTTGACCTGTATTTGAGCTTCAAGCTAAGAAATAAATCCCTCAAGTCTTGACTGGTTGGAGCAGAGGTTTGAGCTCTGCAGTAGAAAGCTCATTACTTCATATTAGAAGTCAGAAGATTAGATACATATCCTGGAAGGAGGGATTTACCACAATCCATTCAGTATCTTGCCCATGAAAAAAAAAGGGAAAAACCCAGAAACTTCCCTATTACAGAAAGACTGAGATAGTTACCTGAGTCCGAGCTGGATGTTGCCACAGGCATTTTAAAGTTCAGCTGCTCCCAGTTTCCTCCACACGCCTTGTTAGATCAACTGCAATGGAGAGAAGAGGTGGTTATTCTAAGAAAATACAAAATATACAATCTAAAATCAACACAGATCCTGAGGAATTATATAAAATCACAATCTGCAAACCAGCCGAACCAAAATACATGATTTCTATCGTAACCTAAATTAACTCCAGCATGATGACAGTTTATTAAGGACTATGAATAGAGCAGCCAGTTGCTCTGGAGGCGTCTGGCCCTATCCGTCACATCCGTTCAGAATACAATTAGACAACAGTTGGAAAGGCCGAGTGAGCGAGTGAATGAGTGGGCAGGCCAGCTAACATTAGCTGAGTGAAGATGTCTGTGAGCTCTAATTGGTCCATTTACCATCAGGCTTTAAGGAAAAAATCTGCACAGAAAAGACGATTAAAGATTTAGTATCTGTCAGAGGAGAGCGTATGAAATCCCTGTGAAATAAAAGGAAAGAAAGACCTTTGGGTAATGATAAACATTCAATTGAAGATCTGTAATAACTTCAAATGCAGCCATAAACCTCTATGTTTGGATACGTGCAAGACTAAAACAAAGCTCTGTATCAGCCAAAGAGAAAGGATGAGTGTTGAAACCTTTTATAAATCAACATCTGGATTTTTTTTCTCTGATGTGCATCTGTATCTGTTCTCTGAGTCAGTGCTTGGTAGAACCACCTGTCATCTCAGCTGTGATTACAGCAATGAGAGCTGCGAGCCTGTGTGGCCAGGATACCATGTGGTTATTGGATACTTCACTGATTAATGCTCTCCTTGCCCAACCTGCCAGTTTAGGTCTTCGCTAAGGTTTGCAATAACTTTTTCTCCTCTTCAAGAACACATTTTCCCAGAATAGCTGCACTGTTCCATCCTGCCTCCGTTGCTTGCTGTTTTCATGCAGACTTGGAGGGGAAACAGGCATGAATTAATGGGCTCTATGCAGAACTCCACTACTTCCTGAACTTAAGGCAGCTCTTTTATTTCCTGTCTTTTTCTACTGGGTGAAATTATGAATCCTGCTGTGCCTGGCCTCAGTAACCATGACCACTCACACCTGGATTCATCACTTGATCAAGTAATGAAAGACAGGAAACAAAATAGCTGCCTTAAGTTCAGGAAGTAGTGGAGTTCTGCATAGAGCCCTTTGGCTTTCCCTCTCCATCAGGTGTCACAGCTCTGCATTTTTCGTGATCTTTGTTTGTTTCGAATGATCAATTAAATGGATTCATTGAAAGTTGATTTATCAGTAAACTAACCGTTAGCTTATAAGTGTCCGTTTCCTTAAAAACCTGTGTTTTATCTTGTAACAAGAGGTTCATTCAATAACACGAAGGGTGAAATAGGTTTTTACTTTAATGCTGAATTAAAAGTACATTAAACATCATAATATGCTAATAGTTTATGTCTCCAGCTGTAATAAATATTGGCTGCATTGTCTCTGTTTGTAACATTACAAAACAAGAAGTTATAGGTTACTTATTAGGCAATAGAACTTTATTTAAACAGCACATATCAGTGGGAAGATATTTAAAGTGCTGAAAATGAAAGGAAAAAAGAAAAGTAGGCAACACAAAATATTTACTAAGAATAACAGGGAATGAACGTTAACAAAGGACAGTTTGAAGAAAGGAAACATAACAGAGTTTTATAACTCAGTGATGTTACAAATTTCAGAAGGATCTCATGATAGACTTAAGGTTTGGAAAGAAGACTTATTGATAGAGTAACAGAGGAAGATTGGCAAACTGCCTGTACATTGGCCCACACCAGCTCTATTAATACAGCTCCTAAAATGATTCAATATAAATGGCTAATGCGGATTTATATAACACCGGTAGACCTTAATGGATTTTCTTAGAGATTTCCTTTCAACTGAAGCTGCTAAATCATATTTTTTTCCATGATTTTATCCCATATAACATATTGTCTAATAAGTTGGTCCAATACTCACTCTACTACAATAAAACCATTAGAAACATCAATAAACAAGCATTGAAAATACTGGATAAAAAACCATACCATTACCACCACTGTATTATTCTGAGGAAATATCAGTTACTTACCTGGAACAATCTTATCAAATTCAAAAACATCTGTTTAATTTATAAAATCAGACATGGTTTAGCACCACCTCCACTATGTGACTTTGTACAGTTCAGATCCAGTGAGATCAGGGTAACCGGCGGGGCAGTGAGGGAAGACTGCATCATCCCCCGGAGAAAAACAGCCTTTGGTCAGGCTGTCTTCTCCGTAAGAGCATCTCAGCACTGGAACGCAGTGCCAGAAACCATCAGAGACTCTTTGTCATTCTCTTCATTCAAAAAGAATGCAAAAAATGGCTTGTAGAGAGCCAAATTTGTTGGCACTAAGGTTTTCTGTGTGTATTTAAATAATTTTACAATAAATTTTTAATTATTTTACATGAATTGCATTTCTTAACCATAATGTTTTTTATGTAATTGGTATTGTAATTTTATCTTGTGATTTTATACTTGTTTTTATTTTTAAGGTTGCCTTTTTTATACCTGGCTGGGGGACTACCGATGAAAATTAGCACTCCTTAACTAACTCGGGTATATTCACATTGTTTTAATGTTGATTAATGTACACTGTCCCCTTTCAAATAAACCATAAATGAAAAAAAATGAAATAGGTATAACAGGGAAATACTTGATGTATGTCCAAAATGCACAGAGAACAGGGGACTCTGGTTGCAAGGAAATTATACGGTTTTTAAAAGAAATAATTTTTGAACCAAGGTTGTTTGTGTGTGGATTTTATCATGAAAAACATATTTATATAAAATATGAAGGAGTGTTTATAAACTTAAGTTTGCTTTATGCAAAGAGATGTGTATTAATGTTGGAAGTTGAAAAAAGACTCACAGACCAACCATAAACCAATGGGTGCAACAGATGTTATCTGTCCTCCCTCTGGAAAAATGATGTATATATTAAAGGGTAAACAGGACCAGTTTGCGTCTATCTGGAATTCCTTCATTAATTATGTCAAAAATCTGAAAGACGGTGCAAATTATTGATGAACATGTGAACTGCAGTTCCCAAAGACAATTTATGTGAGGACATGGGAGCTGGCTCGGAGCTCGTCTGCCTGGCTGTGTGTTTCCTGGACGGGGCCGCCTTTTACAGCTGCTTTTTGTATCTCTGTTTCTGTCTCCTTGAACCCCAGTCGGCCTCAGCAGATGGCCGCTCACACTGAGCCTGGTTCTGCTGGAGGTTTCTTCCTGTTCAAAGGGAGTTTTTCCTCTCCACTGTCGCTACAAGCATGCTTAGTGGGAGGGATTACTGAAGAGTCAATGAGTCGATGCAATCAGCTGGTTTTCCTTAGATAGAAAACTTTGAATCAATCTGCCTGGATGATCTGGTTAACTGGAAAGTACCTTGAGATGACTTGTGTTGTGAATTGTCGCTATAGAAATGAATTGAATTGACATATATTGTTAAATTTAATTATCAGCATAAGAGGTTAAGTAGAAACGTGATCAGTTACATTGGAAACAATATTGTGTGAGGAAATCTGTTGTCTTATTTTGTTTATGTTTTATTTTGACTTGAATAGTAACACTACTGCTGCTGTGGTCATATTTTGTATATTGTTCAAGATGTTTGTTTAAACTGCTAAAATTGTAAGAAATATATAAACTAAAAAAAAGAATAACAGGGATCTATTAAAATAACACAGTCATAAAAAGGATGAAATTCTCTTTAAAAAAATCAATCATTTAATCTAAAATTGTTGATTTTAATAAAAGATTAATAAGATTTAATTTAGAAATATAATGATTTAAAGACATTTCACTCAGACATGATGTTAAACTTTTTACCATTTTGTTTTAATAAAGTGGATGTTAACTCTGATATATTCACATCCTCACCTTCCAGGCACAGCAGAGAAGTGAAGCTGCTCTGCAGTGTTACTGCCTGATCTGTACCTGAAGCATGATCCGAAACCATCAGCTTATTTGCGCTTGTGCAAACTGAAATTTATCCAGGTAGCCATAAATAATGTAATTATGGTACTGAAAGCACTTATTTCTGTCCTTGATTCAGAAAATAGTGCTAAACTACATTATATTTGTATAAAGGTTAGGACCACTTTTCTGAGAGAACTGGATGTGTTTTACATTCTCTCTCTTAGATTATATGTTTTCCCCTTTCTGCTTTTCCTCATAGTAGCTTCATCTGGTCTGTTCCTGTTTGGCTGTGACTCCATCCTGGAGAGAAATATCAGCTGTGCTGCTGCCATCAACACCTTTGTTTCTAGATGTTGGAGCTTGGCCTGTTTTCCAGCGTATTCCTGTTTCTCTGACTAGGACTAACTGGATGTGCTCTCTTCATCCTCTGACATGGGAGCTGGCTCGGAGCTCGTCTGCCTGGCTGTGTGTTTCCTGGATGGGGCCGCATGTGGAGCTGGTTGACAGTTGCTTTTTGTATCTCTGCTTCTGTCTTCTTGAACCCCAGTCGGCCTCGGCAGATGGCCGCTAACACTGAGCCTGGTTCTGCTGGAGGTTTCTTCCTGGTAAAAGGGAGTTTTTCCTCTCCACTGTCGCTACAACCATGCTTAGTGTGAGGGATTGTATTTGAGTCAATGAGTCGATGCAATCAACTGGTTTTCCTTAGATACAAAACTTTGAATGACTGTATGATCTGGTGAACTGTAAAGTGCCTTGAGATGACATGTGTTGTGAGTTGGCGCTATATAAATAAACTGAAGTGAATTATATTGGTGGGCTGACATCATCAAACATGCCCAGTGAAATCCGGCCAAATATGATTAGACCATGTTTTTCTGTATTTTAGTTGTCTCTTTCTTTAAATCATGTAGAAAATTACAATAAGATGCAGACATAAAACTCCAAATTACCATACTACAATTATTTACAAATCCAAAGCCAAAACAAAGAGTTATCACCAGAAGATCGGGTGTAGATGAGTGATATAACAGAAAGAATTTAAAGACATTTATTCTGTCAGAAAACATATTTTGAATGTAT